CCTACACATAATGTCAAACTAAACATGATATGGAATTCCCCATATATAGTCACCCAAATAAGCCATATGTTTTAAATAAATTTAAAGATTCAAATCATTCAGAATATGTTATCTGATCATAGTAGATTTACATAAAATATATTAACAATGAAAAAATCTGGGGAAGCATATTTAAAAATTAGATAACACATTTTTGAAGACTATGGAATGAAGAAGATATGAGAAAAAACCACAGGAAAATATTTTAATTGGGTACTAATGAAAAATTCAACAAAATCTCTGTGAGTTGGCTAACAGGTAAATTTATGACTAAAAATGTTCATGTTAGAAAAGTAAAAAGACCTAAAATTAATGACATAAGGTTTCATCTTAAGAAGTCATAAAATAATGAGCAAAATAAATGTAAAATTTGTCAAAAAGTTAAGCAGAAATTAATAAAATCAGAAATACAGAAAATTATCAAAAACAAAACCTCATTACTTGGAAAGATAAACAAAAGTAATAAATCTGTAGATAGACTAATTAGTGAAAAAAGAGAGAGAACAAAAATACTATCATCAAGACTAAAAGAAATGTTAACAATGCATACCTTAGAGACGTTAAAAAATGAAAAAAAATTATTAAAACCTTTATGCCAAATATTTTAAAGACAATGATTCAGGCAAATTCTTTGAATAATGTTACTCACTAAGGTCAACACAAGATGTAATAAAAACTGAAAAAATTACTAATGGTTATGGTATTTTCACTGGCAAATTGTATTAATATTCAAGGAATAAATGACACCTATGACACATAATTCAATAATAAAAAGACACATGAATTGATTATAAAATGAACACAGAAAATTGAATAGACATTTTTCTGGAGAAGATACAATTGGCTGATAAGCACATGAAAGGATGCTAAATATCATTAGTAATCAAGGAAATGCAAATCAAAACCAAAACTGGATATTACATCATACTCACTAACACAATTATACCAAAAATACAGATAATAGCAAGAGTAATAAGCAAGATAAAAAACAACATGAGTATGTAGAGAAATTGAAACCCTTGTACATAGCTGGTGGGAATGTAAAATGGGGCAGACACTTTGGACCTAGTCTGGCAGTTCCCTAGGAAGTTCAACATAGTTATCATATGGGCCAGCAATTCCACTCCTTCGGTAAATACCCAAGAGAACAAAAACACATGCCCACACAAACTTGTATACACATTATCATAGCAGTGCTATTTATAATAGCCATAAAGAAGTAATAACATCTATCAACCGATGAATGGATAAATGAAATATGTCCATACAATGCAATAATGTTCAGGAATAAAAATAAATAAAATATACATGCTAAAACATGAATGGTCCTTGAAAAGACGATGTGAGGTGAAAGAAACTAGGCACAAAAGACTCCAAATTACATTATTATATTTATACAAGTATTTCAGAATAGGCAAATCTACAGAACCAGAGATATTAATGGTTGCTTAGGGCTGGGCAGATGGATGACCCAGAGAAACAGTGAATGGCTGTTGGTGGGTGGTGGGTCTCTTTTGGGGATTATGAAATAAAATTTTGTAAAATCGATTGTGATGATGGTTGTAAAACTTATTAAATATATTTTTAAAACCTTGAATAGCACATTTCAAATGGACTAGATGATTAACTACGTATGTCAATTTGGTTAGGCCATTGGACCCAGATATTTAGTTAAACATGTCTGGATGTTGTTGTGAAGGTATTTTTAGATAAGATTAACAGTTAAGTCAGTATGACTTTGAATAAAGCGAATTACCTTTAATCCTTAATGTGAGGGGACTTTAACCAATCAGTTGAAGGTCTTAAAGAAAAACTGATCTCGGCCAGGCGCGGGGGCTCACCCCTGTCATCCCAGCACGTTGGGAGGTCAAGGTGGGGGGATCACGAGGTCAGATCGAGACCATCCTGGCTAACACAGTGAAACCCCGTCTCTACTAAAAATACAAAAAATTAGCTGAGCATGGTGGCGGGCGCCTGTAGTCCCAGCTACTCAGGAGGCTGAGGCAGGAGAATGGCGTGAACCTGGGGGGCGGAGATTGCAGTGAGCCGAGATCACACCACTGTACTCCAGCCTGGACGACAGAGCGAGACTCCGTCTCCAGGAAGAAGAAATTCTGCAAGCAGACTGACTTTGGGCTATAACAACAATATCGGCTGTTCCGTGGATCTTTGCACTGCCAGCCCACCTTGCAGATTTTTGTCTCGCCAGACTCTACAATTGTGTGAGTCAATTCCTTAAAATTACACACACGCACACACACACACACACACACACACACACACACACACACACGACGCTATAGCTTCTATTTTTCTGGAGGAACCTTACTAATACAATGAGCAAATTGTATAGTATTTGAATTATATCTTAATAAAATAATTTCTAAAAGCCCTTAATAAAATAGAAAAGCAAGCCATAGAATACAATAAATTATTTGCAATACATACATCTCAACAAATATGCATATTAATATTTATAAAATCCTCCTTCAACCCAATGATAAGAAAAACAAGCTAATTTAACAATGGACACATATTTAAACAGGTACTTTACAAAAACTAATGTAGAATGAGCAATAAGCTCTTAAAAATGCTCAACCTCATAAATTATCAGATTAATAGAAGTAAAATCAAAATGAAATATCACCATACAAATATTAGAATGGTGAAAATTAGTCATTAATATGACATTTTGGCAAGGATGTAGAGCAACCGAAACTCTTATAAACTATTAAAAGAAAAGTAAAATGATACGAGTGATTCTGAAAAGTCTTAGTTATCATCTTCAAAAACTAAAAATGCACCTGTTATACTGTAATCCCAGCACTTTGGGAGGCCAAGGCGGGTGGATCGCGAGGTCAGGAGATCCAGACCATCCTGGCTAACACGGTGAAACTCCATCTCTACTAAAAAATACAAAATATTAGCCGGGTTTAGTGGCGGGAGCCTGTAGTTCCAGCTACTCGGGAGGCTGAGGCAGGAGAAGGGCGTGAACCCGGGAGGCGGGGCTTGCAGTGAGCTGAGATAGCGCCACTGCACTCCAGCCTGGGCGACAGAGCAAGAATCCATCTTAAAATACATAAATAAATAAATAAAATAAAAATGCACCTATTATATAACAGCCATTGCAATTCTGTTTTTACTCAAGTAGTGTTTGTATAGGAATGTTCATACCACCTATATTCTCAATAACCAAACCCACAAATAATCCAACTGCTCATTAAGAAGTGAATGAATAAACAATATGTGGAAAAATTGTACCATGGAATAACATTCACTAATAAATATTAATGGACTATCTGTAAAGTCAATAAGAGGAATTAATCTCAAAATTGTTACGTCGAGTGAAAGAAGCCAAGCACAGTTACTCGGGAGGCTGAGGTGGGAGAAGGGCCTGAAGCCGGTGGGGCGGAGCTTGCAGTGAGCCGAGATCGTACCACTGTGCTCCAGCCTGGGCAACAGAGTGAGACTCCGTCTCCAAAAAACAAAAAAAAGAAAAGAAAAGGTGATCTTTTTAGAGGAAGAAGAAATTCTGCCGGCAGACTGACTTTGGACTATAACAACAATATCGGCCCTTCTGTGGATCTTTGCACTGCCAGCCCACCTTGCAGATTTTTGTCTTGCCAGACTCTACAATTGTGTGAGTCAATTCCTTAAAATTACACACACACACACACACAGACACACACAGACACACACACACACACACACAGTAGTACCAACAGAGTTTGCATAAATTCTGGAAAAAGAAAATATATGTATGGTGATGCAAAGGAGATCAATGGTTGCCTGAGGTTAGAGGTAAAGGGGTGTAAAGAGACATTTTTGGGGTAATGAATATGTTGTGTGATGTGTACAACTATGATGATGGTTTCACAGTTGTATATACCACTCAAAAGTCAACATATTGTATATTTTAAATGAGTGTATTTTATTATATCCATTTTTTATTTCAAGAAAGCTAATTTTAAAATGAGGAAACTAGTCTGTCAGTTTTATTGAAATATTTTTATTTGTGAATTCCATTGAGAATCTAATAAAAGCTGCATACTTGACCAAAGTAAAGGTAAAATGAAACGCATCTTAATTTGGGATAAGAATTCTACACAGGGTAATGAAAATCCATGCTTAGGGAACTGGTGTCAAGACTATACATTTTGCCAGTTACTGTGGATATAATCATCTTACATTCCTCCTGTTGTCTTACATGTGTTAATTGAGTCTCTTCAACTATGGTGTTGGCTAAGTATATTTACAGCATACATGCAAAGAAAAAAACTTCAAGGAAATATACCATGCTTATACTAAATAATTAACTCTTAAGGAAAACCCAATTTAAGGTAATTTCAATTACTATATTTCCACAAAGTGTTTAAATATTTAAATAGATTGTCATTTTTATAAATTTTTATTTAAATATATTTATCAATCTGGGAGGAAAATCACACAAAATAGCATAGATTTTGTTGTAGAAAATATGGTCTATATAGTTAAGGCTTAGGAGACATGAAGAAGAGCAGCACAATGAATTTAGTGTCTCATCCAGTATACCTAAGATTAGCTTTGTGCTAAATTGATAAAATGAAAACTAGAAAAATAAAAATAACTCTCTTTAGTTTAGTAGGAAGTTATTTTGCATCTAACATATTATTTCAAATTTATTAAATCATAAAATATATTTAGCATGACATACCAGAGTTTTCATGTACTGTATACTGAAGGTAGACAAGCAAAATTCCAAATCAAGGTAAAACGTTACTTAAAATGATGCTGTACACTCAAGTGTTGTCAGGTCGTTTTATATTCTTTACATATTGTCTTATTATATTCTACAGTAAAGATATGCATTAGGGCAGAAAGATAGAGACCAAGAACTGTAGGAAGTTCTGTGGACAAATAAATGAATGTATATAACCATGTCAGAAAGCTACTGGACATACTAATTAAACGTGTTTTTCCAGAAACATTCTTACAGAAAAGTCAAAGGATTCTGAGACATCAAGCCAACACTGTGACAGAGAATTTGACTAACTAACAAACAGAGGGAGTCAAGATCTTGGCACAGTTTCTGGGAGAACTGAGTACAGGTAATAAATATTTAGAGAAAACTGACTTCCTGATATTTTTTTAATGGGTTGAATGTGGCCTTTTTATTTTGAGACTTTTTATTTTGACATATTTTTAAACTTACAAAATCTTAACAAGAAGTATAAAAAATAAAATATCATATACACTTTAACCATATTTATCAAATATTAACATTTTGATGTGTTTGTTTCATCATTCTCTGTCTCTCTGGTTCTGTCTTTTTATCTACACATTTATAATACACACACATGCACACATACTTTCTTTTCTGAAATACGGAACAGGAAGTTGGACACATACTCTTTCACCCTTAAATGTCTCAGTGTATATTTCTTAAAAACAAAGTCATATCATATAACTAAAGTGGAATTAGCAAAATCACAAAAAGATAATAGCATTTAATAATCATCTGTAATACATATTTCATATTTAAATGTCTCCAAGCAAGTTTTACAATTTTTTTTTTTTTTTTTTTTTTTTTTTGAGACGGAGTTTCACTGTCGCCCAGGCTGGAGTGCAGCGGCATGATCTCAGGTCACTGCAAGCTCCCCTTCCCGGGTTCACACCATTCTCCTGTTGCAGGCTCCCCAGTAGCTGGGACTACAGGTGCCTGCCACAGCACCTGGCTAATTTTTTGTATTTTTAGGAGAGACAGGGTTTCACCATGTTAACCAGGATGGTCTCTATCTCCTGACTTCGTGATTCGCCTGCCTCGGCCTCCCAAAGTTCTGGGATTACAGGTGTGAGCCATAGCACCAGGCCTACAATAATATTTTTAATAACTTTTTCTATATGTTTGTTTCCAGGTTCGACATATAAGTCAGTATCACACATAGCTATTAGTTGATATGGCTCTTTAGTCTTCTATATTCTGGAAATATTTCACATTACACTCAGCTTTCACACACTTGACATTTTTTGAAGTGAATAGTCCACTTATTCTGTAGAATGTCTATCCATTTGAGTTTTTCTGATAATTCAGCCATAAGTACATTCATATTATGTACCTTGGGCCATAGAACCATGTTGGTAGTGATTATCCTTCTCTATCAGGAAGCATCTTTTTTTTTTTTTTTTTTTTTTTTTTTTTGAGACGGAGTCTCGCTCTGTAGCCCAGGCTGGAGTGCAGTGGTCGGATCTCAGCTCACTGCAAGCTCCGCCTCCCGGGTTTACGCCATTCTCCTGCCTCAGCCTCCCGAGTAGCTGGGACTACAGGCGCCCGCCACCTCGCCCGGCTAGTTTTTTGTATTTTTAGTAGAGACGGGGTTTCACGGTGTTAGCCAGGATGGTCTCGATCTCCTGACCTCGTGATCCGCCCGTCTCGGCCTCCCAAAGTGCTGGGATTACAGGCTTGAGCCACCGCGCCCGGCCCTCAGGAAGCATCTTATACTGAGTTGTCCCATTGTTGGTGATGTTAACTTTGATAAACTGGTTCGCATAGTTTCCACATTTTTCCATTTCAAAGTTCATATGTTTCTGTATTTTGTTTAATAAATAATTTGTGGGGAGATATTTTTGATTTTATATAAATATCCTTTTCCCAAACAAATTTTCACCCACAACTCTTAGATGGAAAGTATATTTTCAGACATATGTGTATCTATTTAAGTAATATCTTCAGGCTTTCTGTCTTCACTTCTCAGAAATTAATATTGGACTAAAAAATCTAAAAAGTAAATATACTCAACACAAGAAAATAACAATAACAAAAAAGCCCATTTAAATATGTCCTAAAATCAGTTACAAATACAGTTAAGCTGGATGATGTTTCATAACCCTTTAAATTTTAAGATTCTATAAAATTTTCAAAGCATAGGGAATACCCAATATTCCAAATAGTTCTCCTTACACTACACGGTGAAATCCCTCCAGGATAATACATTATTATAGTTAAAATTGAGTGTATTTATAATTCATCAACTCACCAGATCTGTAATATAATAATTTCGTGTTCTTTTACAATTTTAATAATTCCCTTTATCCTCCTTCTATATTTTAGAAAACTAAGAATTCAGGCCATGTTTACTCTTTGTATCTGTACCTGTCCTGCTACATGGACCCCACTGGGCTCTCAATAAATACATTCTTAATGAATGAATAATAAAAAAAAACTGAAAACTTCATATGGTTGCCTGCCTTCGTGTCTCCAGACAAAGGAAGACATCAGAATGTAAGCTCATTAATCAAGCCAAGCACAGTAGTTCACTCCTGTAATTCTATCACTTTGAGATTCCAAGGCAGGCATATTGCTGGAGCCCAGGAGTTTAAGACAAATCTGGGCAACATAGTGAAATCCTGTCTCTACAAAACAAACAACAAACAAACAAACAGCTGGGCATGGTGATGTGTGCCTGTAGTCCCAGCTGCTCAGTAGGCTGAAGCAAGAGAATCACTTGAGCCCAGGAGTTTGAGGCTGCAGTGAACTCTCATTGTGCTACTGCACTCCATCCAGGGCAACATGAGCGAGACCCTGTTTCAAAAAAATTAAAATTAAAACATTTTAAAAAGCCATTAACCAATTCTAAATGTATCATGAAAACTGAATAAAACTAGGAGGAAAACAAAGAAGCATTCTGAAGCCTGATTACTTCCTAATCACCAATAATTCATTGGTCTTTCCATATTTTGAGTATGGCATTAATCTTACTTATGCTTTTCATTAAACAATTTACCCTATTTTTGGTACTAGATATTTTGGGAGAATATTTGATTCTTTCAAAAATTAGGGTCATTCCCTAAGTGGTTATTGGAGTGCTGCTAATTTCCTCAAACCAATATCATACCCTCTTGTCCGAGAGCACTTTTCATATCTAACTCATATTTTGTGTTTTTATGAATAAATGTTTATATATGGGGCATAGAAGTACATGACTTTCTGAAACATGATTATTTTTCCCAAAAAATAGAGAAACAGAAACATATTTCTAACCTAAATTCTGTCTTGAAATCTTGCACATTTTTTTTTATTTCAGTGATTTTCTTAGGATTCAATAGTTCTGATACGTAAAAACTATGTTTCTTTTGTTTGTACCAGGATAGAGTTAAGAATAACATAACAGGTATAATAACCAATAGGATTTTTTCTGCCTCTTGTTTCCACCCAAAGATATAAACAAAGTTTTATTCATTTATACAGTGTAGTCCCCGTCAGGGGCCTCACATGCCCTTTAACAAATACGCCACAACAGATCTTCCACCTGAATTTCTGATGCCCAAGAAGTTGCTTAAGTGCAAACCCCTCTCTCCCCAAGGACAATTTTGTATATTAGGCTCATAGCTTCCAACACCCTCTAATGATCTCTTCCTACAACTCATGTCACAGACAGCGTGGCTTGTCCTGTCAGGCTATGCTGCCAACGTGTGATCTACTGCAATCTTGGAGCCCCTGAAATCCTGGAAGTCTTAAAGCAGGTTGAGTCCTGGCTGCAGGGATTTTATTTGTGTTAATTTTGCCACTTGATTGTCAAGTAGGATCTTACTTTATTCTCCAATGTTTTACAAACCATTTAATGTAAACAAATCTTTTTATTTTTGCTTAAAGCACATCTCTCTTCAGGACCCAGATATGAGTCCATGAAGGCTGGACTGGGGGAAACTACCTAGCAAAAACTATGCTCTCCTCAGAATTAACCTTCTTCCCTGAGAATGAGACTTATTTGTAAGTCCAACTCCCTCTCCATAAATATGAGTTCTCTCTTGTGATGTAACTTGGGCCCATATACAAATATGTAATTGGTGGACTGTCCCATTGCCAGCCATGACTTGTCAGGCATACATGTAGAATGGACCTTAAACTCAAGCTAGATGTATCCCTGCTCATAATTTAGTACTTTTTCAGGCTGGAAAGACTAGAGCTATTGATTTAGTTTTCCATTCTGGGTAGAAACATTCTAGGAAGGAAGTATCGCTCAGTCTCTTCTGTGTAAGAACATAGTGTTTACCCACAGAAGGATATAGAGAATAAGGAAATAACATATCTGTACGTTTCTGTGCCAATCAAATGAAAGTCAAGGTGGATAGAAAGGGTAGAGTCCAAGTGAAACAATATTGGGAAATCTGTTCTAGGATGTGACGAAGTAATATTAAGGGGTGTAAGGGTCTCCTTCACTCTTCAACTTTTGACATTTAGCAGGTCATTCTAAGGCAGAAGACCTAATTGTGAGTCACAGACACTAACCCATGGGTCAAAAATTGTCCAGGAGTGTCCTCTAAAATGTTAATTGCATCCAGCACCCCATGTTGTATAATTCCCTGATCAGATCCACTCTCTGGCTTATCTCTTGATTCTACAGCCATGAAACCCCACAGTTTTGGGTAAAAAGCACCTCTTGTATCATCAACCTCTGCAACCCTCACCTCTAATGCCATACTCCCATCAGTTGAGGGAAGTGCCCTATGGGCACTGCTAGATATAATAAATGCTGATGATGCCATCCGTGGGACTATCAATATTTATGACCAGGGTGTTGTGGTTCTGTGACTAGTAAGCTCCCATTGAGTTTCCTCTAGTGGCCTGTGTCATCTGGCTCTGCTGACATCTCTAGCCAGATCTCTCGCCATATCTCTCCCATTCGGCTCCCTGAACTCTGCGCTCCTGCCATGCTGAACTACTTAATGCTTCCTGCTGTGTCGTGATCTCTTCTGCCTCTGTGACCTCTTCTGCCTCTGTCTCTGCAAAGGACACTTCCTCTTCTTCACCCCTTTGTTGCCTCTTGGTTGTCATCGTTCTTCTTTCCGGTCTGAGCTCTGAGGTCTTTCCTTCCCAGAAAGCTTTTCCAATTTCCTTAGATGAGATTACATCCCCGTCCTCACCCCTCTTTCCCTCTCATATCACTTCTGTAATTGTATGTTTCTCTTCCCATGTAGCCTGTGAGCTTCTTGAGGAGACAGGAGTGATGTCTCACATCTATCTCCCAAGCTTAGGCAACCGCCCAAGATACAGAGGCACAATAAATATGTGTTGAATAAACAGGTTATGCCTTTCCCACTTTATTATTTCTGTCATTTCTGATTGCGTGGGGCACTTCACACTCTCCACCTTTGTGATGCTGTTCATCTTAATAGGTGTTAACAGAAAATAAATTGCTATTGATGCAATTGTTACTTAGAATGCAAGAGTGGCCTTTAAGCCCAGCTCTGTGTCAACAAAATGCAAGGACAGCCAACTGTTGGGAAGAATTTCCAGGAAGTAAACCAATTAGTTTCACATGCTTTGCTTAATATTTTATTTGCATTTCATGCCTCATGTTTTAGTGAATCTGTATTGGCAACCCATAATAATTGCTAGTTCACCTATTATTTGTTCAGCTAATGGTTTGGTTTAAAGTACAAACAAAACTGAAATCAGAGAGATGATGAAAGGCATGCAAGAAGGGGAGAAAGGAAGAAAAGAAAGGAGGATGGCTGAGAGGGAGGGAAGGAGGGAGCAAGGGAGGAGAAAGGGAAAATAATTCCAAACAGGTTTCAAGATTGAGCTGACCCTGCCATCTAAATATAGCGTGGCCACATGTACATATTGAAGACAAATGATTTACTCACTGGCTTAGAGGAAATCAGATAAATTATCTTCCAGTGACTCCTGACTAGCCAACCTCAGAAACAACTCTCTTTTGAGAAAGAGGTTTTGTGATAGGGGATACATTAGCTATTTTTTTGTTTCACCTGGTTACAGAGTTCTCAAGCTGCCTTAAATATCATAGAAGAAATTTCAGGTTGAAGTTGATGCTTTTATTCAGCTTCTTTGAACATGTCAACATGGAAATTGTCCTTGAACACACAGCTCCACATGCTCACGGGCTGAGGAAGATGCTGAGAAATGGATTCTATATGTAAGTATAATATAGATCTGGTGCTTTGAATACAGCATCTTTGAGCTGCCTCACATCATGGGACCAGTGGGGAGAAATGTGTTGTGGCAGAGTAGAAAATAATTTCCTTAGTTTCATGATTTATTGGACAACTCTATATAGGCTTCTGTGCAGAATATGAGGCAGAAAGACCATTACGTCTAAGAAAACAGGGACTAAAGGTCTAGTTGTATGCTTAGGATTGAGCACAGACTGGGCACATTATTGATACTTAATAGTTATAAGTAGAATTAATTAACTTCGTATGATTGTCTTGACTCTGTAAGGGAGAGGTATTGTCTCTTGAAAAAGTGTCACCTGTAGATACATTTTACTCTCTCACCTACCTATTCTTCAGCCTGTTGAATAGCAACTTTCTCCAAGGTACTTCTTGATAACCCTGTATTTCCAATGTGGCCATTTCATTGTCAGTGATGGACCTGCAAATCTCTCAATAAATCACTTTACTTTGGGGACAACAATCTTATTATACAAAAATCCTTTAAAAGCCTTGGTGGGCTAATCGATGCTGAGCGAACCAAGGCAGGAATCCAGAGTAGGCTGTGGGCACTGAGGAAAGTGACAGCCTCATCACAAGATAGTTATTGCAGGAAGAGGAAAGAAAATCAAAGCAGAAGCCAGAGCTGCAATTTCGTTTGTGCAAAATGAGTTTTTATTGCTGTGAAAATAAAAGGTGATTCTAATGCTTGCCTTTTTTCAAAGTAGTAACTTAAGCTCTACAAAGAAAAGGAGACTTAGTCATAAATTAAGGTTATAGAACTTTAAACCACATTGGGAAAGCATGAGGGGAAATGAGAATGGAGAGTCACTCTATGTAAATCCCAAATTGCATAGACACTGATCCAAGCCAACCCCTAGGACTTATTCAGTGCTGGCCTCTCAAGGGGTAACCTGGTTTGGGAACTAGGGATTATCTCATTAAAAATATGCCATTTAAATTAATATTATTAGAAAGAATAGAAGATAGCCCTGAAAAGGGAGACAGGAAAAGAGATGAGAAGGGAAATCGAAGATTAGGAACCCAAGCTGAGAGGTTGAGGCAGCAGAATGATGTTTGAACTGAACTGAGCAAAAGCGAACAGTAAGAGGTTAATTGTGGAAACTCCATGTTCCAATACAGTAGACATGGACAAAGCTGATTGCTAACTTTCTCCTTGTAAGGAAAACTCCCTTCAAATGATGAGTATTTGACATTAAATTTACCTCTCATCTCTGTCAGAAATATCTTTGCCTTCTAACGTGTTCAATCTTCTAATTTGATGATGGATTCATTTCTTTAGATCTCCTTCATGCTGGCCAGAACTTTCGCTCACTACCTTTGTACCAGGCATGAGCACTATCAGCTGAGCACTTACTCACATATATCCTTCTAGCACTTTCTGTTTCTCTCGTATCCAATTCCTCCACAACTTCCCATTAATGCCTGCTTTATCTATGGCCCATGCTATGATTTCCCATTGCTTTATTATTTAATATTTAAAGTGTGCATATAATTTATCATCCAAACTAGAAAACTTGAGAGTAAGGAACAGGCATAAGCCATGCCTGTCACTGGGCAAATCTAAATATATGATCAGTCTTTCCATAAAGTATATTTCCTGGGGGCATATACGTGGCAACTTATTACTATGATCTTTTGATTTTTCTTTAACCTTTTCAAAAAAATTTGACTTGGGCCTTAATCTAAAATGTCATCTCCCATAGAACAGAGACTCTGTATTATTTCTTCTTTTGTTCCATTCATTGCATAACACTTTGCTAGCAGGTGCCTAGCAGGTACACAGTGAACACACAGTGTATGAATTTAAAACAAAATAAATGATTCATGGCTGATGATCACACAGCAGTTGTCCTCAGTTTTAACTGCTCATAATGATTACCTGGGAAATTAAAAATAATCAAAGTTAATGATGTCTTGGTCCCATCTCCAAATATTCTGTTTAATTGGCCATGTGTCTGGCTTGGACACCAGGGCTTTTAACCATTACCAGGTGATTCTGAAGTCTAGCTAGTATTACAGACAAGCCCGAGGGACTTCATTTTTCAAAATGGTGGTGATGAAAACATATACTCTGTGAGTATAGAGGCCAGGAAGGAAGAACCCTACAAAATCACACAGTATCAAAAACCGTGTCAGAACTGCAGGATTATTAAGCACTCAGACTTTAAAGCTAGATGGATGCAGATTCAAATTGAATAGGATACAACCTGCTGGACAGAATGACAAGGACACAGTACTCCAATTCACTACCTCTGAAAAGCACTAAAGAGTAGTACATTGTCCTAGATTTCTTCCCATCATTTCAATTTAAAATATTCTGAGGCCAGGCATGGTGGCTCACGCCTGTAATCCCAGCACTTTGGGAGCCTGCGGTGGGCGGATCACCTGAGGTCAGGGGTTTGCGACCAGCCTGGCCAACATGGCAAAGCCCTGTCTCTACTAAAAATACAAAATGTAGCCGGGCATGGTGGTGGGCGCCTGTAGTCTCAGCTACTAGTGAGGCTGAGGCATGAGAATTGCTTAAACTCAAGAGGTAGAGGTTGCAGTGAGCTGAGATTGCGCTACTGCACTCCAGCCTGAGGGATAGAGCGAAACTCTGGAAAAGAAAAACAAATAAATAATTCTGGCCTGTGGTAAGACATAAATGCAAAATTGCTCTGAAAACATGATCATCAAACTCCTATATCTCTAGTAAATCATTCTTTGCCCCGCCCCATTGTAGGAGTATGACTTTCCTTTAGACGTCAAAACAGGGCAGTGTCTAAAGTTGTTATTTTATTTGACTGCTAATTATGAGACTTCAAAACAAGCAACAAAGGTTAAAGTCCTTCCAAGATTTCCCACTGATTACCGGTAAATGTCCATACCTTTGATGTTCAGCTTTCATGATGTGATCCCTACTCTTCCCTCCAGTTGTATCCCCTGGAATCTATCCCATATATACCCCAGCTGTTTAGAATTGCTGTCCCATGTTTCTTCTCACTTCTGCCAATGAGTCCCTTTTACTGTGCCCTCATCATGCTTGACTGCAGCAGACAGAGGCATCGATTTTAAAGTGTCTCCTCATATTGCAATTTTTGGTTTCTCTGTTTTTTCATGGAATGTGAAACTTCAAGGACAAAGACAGGTTTAATGCTCCTCTATATCTTGAAAAACAAACAGACAGCAGGCCTATACCAAGTTCTCCAAAGGGATGAATAAGTGAAAGAAGGAATAAATATTGATTTTGCAATGTTACTGATAAAGGCAACCACAAAATTAGATCACTGATATCTATGAGGAAAACATGTTTGCCTAGTGATGAAGCAAAGGAAAAGTTTCTACCCAGAAATTGAAAATGTGGATGCTATTATTTTGTTAGAAATGACTTTGTTTCCTTTGCTTGGGAAGAAAGCAAAAATTTCAGCAAATGGCTTCTTTACTAGGCAAAAAGCAGTTTATTTGCTGGTCTGCCTGAATAAAGAAGGGAAAATAAGTTTGGTTGGTGGAGGAGCTTAAAGTTTTGCTGTTACAATAGAAGCAGTAGCATTTAATTGTCACTGAGAGAAGACAGGAAGAAGAGCATGGCTTGAAATTCAGTGGTCTGTATCATCTACTAGCTCCTGGCCACTGGAAAATTAAACATGCCACTGAACTCCTATTTTATAATCTTTGAACTGGTTATAACAACACATGCCTTCATTTGTCTAAATTGTAAATTAATTGACCAACTTAGTTCAACATATGTGACATATAAATCTTCCATTTTCCCTGCTCTTTCCCTAAGTCAGAAGTGAGCAAAGCCAATCTGTAAGAAAATAAAAATGAAAGGAATAGATTATTTTGATTTTTTAATGTCCAGTGATTATATTGCTTAATTGAAATTCCATGGAAGTAACTAAGATTATACTTAAATAAATAATAGCAAGTGAATACCAAATGAAAACATTTTTAAAGCGAGAATTTTACACTAAAAAGATCAATTTAGTGTTGTATAAATATAAACATGAGCATAAATACATCAACAAGATCCATGGATCGATCATTTGATTGAAGATAGTGTCTTTCTCTGCTGAGAAAACAGTTTTTTCCTCCTTTTTCTCTTGGTTGGTTCAATATTTAACTCTGATCATCCAAGAGAAATCTTTGTGGTACCTGAAGAGGTATAAGCTGTAGGAGTCCCTGCTTTGAAGGCAAAAAGGAAAATAAAGCTATGTTTATCACAAAAAAAAGAAAGAAAGAAAGAAAGAAAAAAGAAAGAAAAAGAAAGAAAGAAAGAAAAAACAGAAAAGAGCAAACACAAGAGACAAAATGCCTTGCTAATTGTATAAATTTGCTAAGGACACCATAACAAAGTACCATGGTTGGAGTGGCTTAAAAAAACAAAAATTTATGTTTTCATAGTTCTGGAGGCTGGAAGTCCAAGAACAAGGTGTCAGCAGGGTTGAATCCTTCTGAGGGCTATGAGGGAAGGATTTATTTCAGTCCTTTCTCCCTGGTTTGTAGACAGCTGTTTCTTGTGTCTTCACATTGTCTTCCTTCTGAATGTATTCTGTCCAAATGTTCTCTTCTTATGAGGACACCAGTCATACTGGACTAGTGCTCACCCTAATTATGTTATTTTAATTTAATTGCCTCTATAAATCAATACCTTCTTTCCAGATTCAGTAAAATTCTGAGGTATTTGGGGTTAGGATTTCAACATGAACTTTTTTGGGGGCACAATTTAGCCCACACAATAGCTTTCTCCTTTTTACAAAGTATAAGGATGCCAACAAATGCAGCTGTTACTCATTTTCATCTTAGTGTGTATTTTAGTCCACTAAATTTAAGCACTTAAATACAAATGTAAGCAAATGAGCTATTTTAGCTTTAAAAGATAATTTTCATGTCAAAATAAACCTGAAATTGTGAAAAGAGATTTTATCCTTGCTTAATAGAATACCTAAATGATAAATGATATTAAGTGTTCACTATATAT